GATATGCCATGAAGTGAAAACTAATAACTACCAAGCAGTAGATATTAAGTGCTTGGATTTGGGTGGTCTGAGAAAGCAACACAAGAGTTCATACATGAAGAGAAGGCTCAAAGAATAAGGAAAACATCTATGAGCAGGAGGAGAAGGAACACTCTAGGTAGTATAAACAAATGTAAGGGATACTTGGAGATTGTATTAGTTTGCTAGGGTTGGGGGGCTTAAACAACAGAAAGTTATTCTCACAGTTCTGGAGGGTAGAAGTCCAAGATCAAGGAGTCACAGCAGAGTTGATTTCATTCCAAGGCCTCTCTCCCTGGTTTGCAGATGGCTACCTTTTCACTGTGTCCTCACAGAGTCTTCTAGCCTTGCAGGTGCATCCCTGAGGTCCTTTTGTGTGACTAAGTTTCTTCATATAAGGACAACAGTCAAATTGAACTAGGCGCAGCCTTATTCTAACTTAATCACCCCTTTAAAGGCCCTATTTCCAAATACAGCCACATTTTGAGGTGCTGGGGATTAGAACTTCAATATCTGAATTTAAAAATACATACACACACACAAATATATATATATATATATATCTTATTGATTCTAGAGAGGAAGGGAGAGGGAGAGATAGAAACATCAGTGATAAGAGAGAATCATTGATCGGCTGCCTCCTGCACGCCCCCTAATGGGGATTGAGCCTGTAACCTAGGCATGTGCCCTGACCAGGAATCTAACCGTGACCTTCTGTTTCATAGGTCAATGCTCAACCACTGAACCACACAGGCTGGGCTCAACATATGACTTTTGAGGGGACACAATTCATCCCATAACAGGGATGAAAAAAATTTACGAGTCAAACTTAAAGATGATTGGGACATGAAGCTGGAAGGTTATATAGGATCACAGAATAGGAGGCCTTGAATGTTGGACCTAGATTTTCCTCTTGAAGCAGTAGGGGAGTAAAATAGATCTTTAAGAAGAAGAATTTGGCACAGTGTGCCACAGGTTTTCATTAGGAAAAATGGGGGTGGGTTAGGATTGCTGATGCACATTGTCTAAACATGCACTGATAAAGGACTGAAACCAGGAGGGGAAGTGGGAGGGACTGAATGAAAGAAACTGAGAAAAGGATAAGACGTATGCTTGGACATCAGCCATCAGGCCAGTGGAAGCCTGTATCATTGTAATTCAAGCCTTAAAAGGAAGTTTTATTTTATAATTTTTATAACAAGATTGTGACATTGGGTTCCAGCTTTCTAAGACCAAGGACTACCTTACGAAGTGATAGTAAGGAATAGGCTTCCTTGTTGAGGTGTTCAAGAAGTGAGTTTTATGGGAAGGATGCAAGTATCAGGCAGAAGACTGGATTTTAGATATTCCCGGAAGTCCCTTATAAGGCTTAGAGTCAGAAGCTTGAGGGTTTCATTTAGGACCCAGAATAGGCAAAACATCTAGCAAATCCCCAAATTGCCCGTCTTCTCTCCTGCATGATCTGGGTTCAGGTAGCCCTCGTACCTGAACCCTAATGGGAGTAGACCCTTTTGCTGTTTAGTTTGGGCAATACTCAGTGTGCCTGAGGGCACTAGGTGTTATGTCAGTTTCCAGTTGGTATATAAAATTTAAAAAGGGGGCTTAGAAAATTAAGTGTAAGAATTTGATCATTAAAATGAAAACTTAGAATTGCAAGATTTTTTGTAGTATAAATTTAGACTGTATGACTTATGTAAATTATAATCACTAAATAAAATACCTGCTTTTAAAGTTGTTCTTAAAAATATATTTTTAAATTACAAAAGAAATGTGGTGTGTGTTTTTTAAGTTGAAAGTAAACTGCAAAAGTATGCTTTCACCAGGGATTAAGAGGCACAAATTGGCAATTATAAAATAGTCGTGGGGATGTAAAATACAGCACAGGGAATACAGTCAATAATATTGTAATAATTATGTATGGTGCCAGGGTATACCAGACTTATGGGGTGATCACTTTGTAAGTTATATAAATGTCTAATCACTATGTTGTACACCTAAAACTAATATAATATTGAATGTCAACTGTAATTGAAAAATAAAATTACAAAAATATCCTTAGGGACCATCATTGCATAGTTTTATTTGCAGCATTCCAGACCTTTTACTCAGCATACTCTACCCCCCTACACACTTATACATACAAATTCACACTTCATAGCTTATAAAGTACATATACCATACATAATATAAGTATATGTATACTAGAGTCCCCAATGCATGAAATTCATGCAAGAGTAGGCCTTCCTTCCCCCGGCTGCTGGCACTGACTTCCCTCTGGCACCCGGGACCTGGGCTTCCCTCACAGCCCCGGCTTTGTCCAGAAGGTGGTCTGGAAGGTCGTCCGGTCGACGTCCAGTCTAATTAGTATATTACACTTTTATTATTATAGATTTATATGGTTATTTTTATACATGCATTCAAAGGCATATAATTTTTATTCATTTAAAACCAGTATTTGTTTTAAACATTTCCTAACAATTTGCATCTTTCATTTACTTATATGTACAAGTTCCATGTTAGTACATATATTCCCAAAGGACCCATGTTTTAAATATATCCTTAAGTAATAAAAGCCAAATAGACCACATCATGTAGACTATTCAAGAATTAGAATAATAGAATAATCTAAGAAAATTATGATGGAACTAGAGGCCTGGTGCACAACACTTATGCACTAGGGGTCGGGGGCGGGGTGAGGTCCCTCAGCCCGGCCTGTGCCCTCTCACAGTCCAGGACCTCTCGGGGGATGTCCACCTGCTGGCTTAGGCCTGCTCTCCGCAGGCAGTCAGACATCCCCCGAGGGGTCCTTAGTGCTGCCTCGGAGGTGGGAAAGGCTCTTGCCACCACCGCTGCGCTTGCCAGCCATGAGCCCAGCTTCTGGCTGAGTGGTGCACCCCCTGTGGGAGTTCACTGACCACCAGGGGGCAGCCCCTGTGTTGACCTGGTGGTTAGTGCGCGTCATAGCGACCAGTCATTCTGCCGTTCGATCGATTTGCATATTAGCCTTTTATTATATAGAATAATGAAACTCTTTTCAGTTCTCAAGCATTATAACTTGAAGGGTTATTCTATCCTGAACATTTTCAATGGAGTCTTGAAGAAAAATAAAATGATCTATGTCTTTATACTTTTATTAATAGGTAAGTCTTCCAGGTACTTTCTTTTCAGAAACTTAAAATTTGTATCTGAATAGAAAGAACACACACATAGAACCCATTCAAAATTTGCCAAAAGGTCCATGTAGTTAAAAACTCTTTCTTTCCCCTTAGATCCCCAGCCCCATAACTTTTCTCCTCACAGGTAACTGTTAATGATATTTAAAATTCTATACACTTAAAATAAATATAAAAACACCACCATCATATCTCCTCTCCACCTCCCCTCAAAATTCTAGCACTGCTAGAGTAATTTTAATTGCAATTAAGAAGTTTATTTGGGAGTCTGGGATGATGATGAATAAATGAAGAAGAATATGGTTATCAACGGATTAGACAGACCCTTGAGAAAACTTATAATGCTCTTGAATATATCTATTTAAAAAAACCTTCATGAAAATGTAGCAAAAGTCAAAGATGAATTACATCCTAGTTAAAATAATCAGCCCCAAATCAACACTTGATTCATGTTTTTGTTCTCAGACTCAGCACAGTTACAATTCTATCTACGCTAAATTTTACAAAACTTAGAGTAAATCTCTTTAATAATTTCAAATTTTTATTTCGAGATAAATTTCAAAGTAAATGGGGAAAGGTATTGGGACTTGACTTCTTATTTGAAGTAGATTCACTTTAGCCAGGCCTTTTTTTTTTTTTGACCAATGACCACTCTTGCTTGTATCCTTACTTCCCTTAAGGAATAACTGTTATTTATACAAAGGTAGAGGTGTTGATCAAAAGATTCATTTTAAAGTTATGTTGGTAAAAAGAAAGCCAGAGAGTCAATATGGTTTACTTCAAAAATGCCTTTATTTGAATTGATGAACAAAAATAGACCCGGAGACATAGAAGCATGAACAGACTGTTGAACCTCAGAGGGAAGGCAGGGGAGGGTAGATGGGAAGAGATCAACCAGTAAACTTGTACGCATATATGCATAACCTATGGGCACAGACAATGGGATGGTGAGGGCTTGGGGGGGGGGGGGACAGGAGCGGGCTAGAAGAGGTTAATGGGGGATGAGGGGGACCTATGTAATACTTTCAACAATAAAGATTTTTCAAAGTGCCTTTACTTGAATGGTAAAAATGTATTAATCTTACTTCAGTAGTTGAAGTTATGTTTTTTCTTACAACAGTAAACACACATCTTGTGTGTATTAAAATAGGCCCACCAGACCACAAAGATGAAATATGAACGTTAGATAATAATATGAATACCTAATACATTATTAAGAAAACAAGGCTTTAGAATGTAGCTCTTCACACTCCACATAGAACTTCCAATGCTGATCCATTATA